GAAGGTGGCCCACTTGAGGAACTTTGAATTGAATGGGGGAGGGGTGAGAGAGTGGTTACTCAGGTGTGTAAATTTGTGAGATGGTAAGATCCAGTCTGGCAGAAAAGTAGCTCAGGCTCACCCTCAGGGTGAGCAGCTGGGAAGTGAGGTGGGCCAGCATTACTTGGCTTGTTCAGCAGTGGTCTCTGAGCAGGCCCGGGCGAGGAGCAGGGTTAGGGGTTTTAATGTCTGATTCTGTCCGAGTTGTCTAGTTTCTGATCTCTGTGGTGTGAGCATCCCCACCTCCAGGGGTTGGCCAGGGTACCAAGTCTGGACTGCCCAGCGAGCCCTGTACCTGCTTCTCCCACAGGCTTCACCGCTGATCTGAGATCCAACACAGGTGGCCAGGCTTTCCCGCAGTGTGTGTTTGACCACTGGCAGATCCTGCCTGGAGACCCCTTTGACAACACCAGCCGCCCCAGCCAGGTGGTGGCCGAGACACGTAAGCGCAAAGGCCTGAAGGAAGGCATCCCAGCTCTGGACAACTTCCTGGACAAATTGTAGGTTGCCCTTCCTGCAGCCACCCAGGTGCCATCCCCCTCACCGGCTCATGATCAACCACGACAAGCCCTCATTCTCCACAACATCTGAGACTGTCCAGACACAGTGCCGCTCGCCTGGCTGGTTCTGGGGCCACTCTGTGCCATCGCTCAACATGAACACTTGATGCTGTTTATTTATTTCAAGATTTCTGAGGCAACAGAAATGCCCTGGCTACAGGGACTTATTTGGCTGGTGGGGGAGGTGGAATGGGACACCCAACACTTCTTTCCATTTCTGAGGAAAACTCAAATGTCCAAAAAAAGAAGAAAAAAAAGAATTAAAACGCATTAAGAGGTTTATTTGGGTAAATGGTCCACAGTGGATTTTCCCCCAGAAAGGGGGAAAGAACAAACAGGTAGACATTTCTGTTTGGACAGAAGCTAGAAGGCAGGAAATTTTGTGCAATGTCACCATGAGCACCTAAAAGATGTATTAGTGCCATTGGAATAATAAATTTGATTATGGTGGTGATTGCCTTTGTCTGTTGACTTCCTTCTCAGTTCATTCAGGCTGGAATGGACTTTCTTATGCTAGTATACATTTCATAAAACACTTGAAAATTCACAAAAAGTTCAATGTAAGTAACATTGAAGTGTCAGTTCAAATGTAAGACGACCTGGGCCATCTAATGGAATTGGCTGTGATGGTAAACCAGTCTCAACTATGCAGAGAGGCAGCCACTATCTCCACATGGCTAGACAGCCGTGGAAATGTGATCAGTGTAGCCATGGAACTGATATGTTAAGATTTCTTAAAATTGGTTTTTAGGCAGCAAGGTAGGGAGAGAAACATCCATCAGCTGTGCCACACCCCATGACCAATCTGACAGCCTGCTGCAAGGCAGGAAATCCAAGCACGTGAGCTACACTAGAAAGGGGAAGGAAATGGTTGGGTGGTGGTGGGGCTGCCATAATGCTTGGTGCAGGCATGGGCAACTACATTGTCCCTGCTCCTGGAGTCCATGGTCCAATGGGGGAAGCCGCAAATAACCACACTATAATACCGCACAGGTTCTCTTGTCCAGCTGGACTCTGGACCCTTGGCATCAAGTCCCACCGGATCATTTGTGTTGTAGAGGATTTTTTGTCATCTCAATCATTGCTTCACTAAAATATACTTGAGTAATTTCATACCTACAAAGAAGTTACATTGATGCTAGATAACCTCATAACTTATTTTTATCAAACCGAAAGCATTGGACTAATGTCCTTTTTTGTTTCAGGATCCAATCCAGGATATCACGTATTTTTATTTTTTTAAATATATTTTGATTTTTTTTTACAGAGGAAGAGAGGGATAGAGAAAAACATTGCTAAGAGATTCATCGATCAGCTGCCTCTTGCACACCCCCTACTGGGGACGTGCCCGCAACCAAGGTACATGCCCTTGACCGGAAATCGAACCCAGCACCTTTCAGTCCACAGGCTGATGCTCTATATCCACTGAGCCAAACCGGTTTTGGCTTATTAGCTGATTTTAATTGTTATTTTTTGTGGTTGCATTGGGCCAGCAGTTCCCAATCTTTTGGCATCAAGATCCCTGTAAACTCAAACATTGAGGACCTCAAAGAACTTTTGTTAAAATGGGTATATTTACTGATATTTACCACATTTAGAAATTAAAACTGAAGCTTTAATAATTTATTTAAAGATGATAAACTCATTATGTTAATTTTTTTTTTTTTTTGCAGGGTTGGGGGGGCGGGAACCTATTTTCCAAACAAAACATAGTAACATTTTTTGCAAGTCTTTGAAATCTATGGCTAAATAGAAAACTGCTGGAGTCTCATCTGCTTCTGCATTAAATCTGTTTTAATACATTGTTTTGGTTGAATTTTAAGTAGGTAATCTAGCCTCAGTCATCCCATACTTGAAAAAGGAGCATCTTAATACTTGTTTTCAGATAATTAGATATTCTTTGCTGCAACACCAAAACTCGACAAGCAGTAGTTTCTTAAAGATTAATTACAACGTGATATCTGAAATCATATTGATGATCTTTTCATACTGTTACATTAAAATCCATTGGTCTGTCTTGCGTTTATGGAAACACTGGTCAACTAAGTGGAGCTTTGAGGTGTTGATACATTTCATAAAACACTAGAAAATTCACATTTATTAATTTCATCAGGAAAGTGTGAAAGTGAAACTCAGGTTTTGAAAAAAAATTTGTTTTTTTGTTTTTTTTTTTTGCTTGAAACCTCAAATTTTGTCATTGGTAATACTGTCAATTATCCTTGAATTGACAGGCTTGATTTGTTCATTTTTTTAAAAAAATGCATGCCAAACAAGTCTGAATTACTAGTTTGTCAGGTTTCTTCAAGTAAAAATGTTCCAACTCCTCATTCATTAAGTGTGGGTTATGCATCAATAGCTTCCCAAAGAATACAGTGTAGAAGTGGAGAAAAATGTAACTTTAAGAGAAACATGACATCAATGCCCAAACCGGTTTGGCTCAGTGGTAGAGCGTTGATCTGAGGACTGAAAGGTCCCAGGTTCGATTCTGATCAAGGGCATGTACATTGGTTGCGGGCACATCCCTGGTAGGGGGTGTACAAGAGGCAGCTGGTCGATGTTTCTCTCTCATCGACATTTCCAGTTCTCTATTCCTCTCTCCTCTTTGTAAAAAAATCAATAAAATATATCAAAAGAAAAAAAAGAGAAACATGACATCAAGTTCCAGGTAACCAAGTTCAACATCAACAGTGATAAGTTATGTTGATAGTATATGAAGAGAATGGCACTTAACATTTGGTCTTAAAAACCTCTCCACTCTACTGAGAAAATTGCATCAGATCGCAATTGAGGAAAAAGCTACAAAATACCTGACCAATCCTAAAAACTCGGTTATCAAAAACAGATGTGAGTCCTAGCCATTCTGGCTCAATGGTTAGAATGCCCACTCACCAGAGGGTCTCCGGTTTGATTCCCAGTCAAGAGCATATGCCTTGGGTTGCAGGATCTATCCAGGCTCCAGTCGAGTTCAGGAGGTAACCAGTCGATATGTCTCATATTGATGTCTCTTCCCCTCCCTCCTTCACCTTTCTCCCTCTCTCTCCTAAAAAACAAACAAAAAAAAAACTGGAAAGATTATTCTTGGGTGATGATTAACAAAACAAAGAACAGGGAAGTGAGAAAACTCAGCCAAGAGCCTAAGGAGATGTCACAACTAAATTGTGGAATCGTGAGACAGAAAAAGGACAGGGAAAACCAGGAATCGGAATTAAGTGTGGACTTTTCTTAATAAAAATGTATCAAGCTTGGTTCATCAGTTGTAAGAAAAGTATTATATGCATTGAAGATGTAATAGTAGGGGGGAAATGGGTATGGGAGAAGGTGCTTTTGCTGTGTGCTGAAGTGTGCATAGGAGTTAGACAAGAATGGAAGAGGGCAATCTCCGGGCAGAAGCAGCAGCTCATGCCAAGATCTAGGGCAGGAATGAGATGTTTGAGGTCAGAAGGAAGGCAAATGGGGTTGGGGAGAATGTCAAGAGGTTAGGGCAGTCGGCAAGGGCCAAAATATAAAGGGGCCCTTGTTTGATGGCATCTGAGGTGGATCAGCATTGATTGTGGGTTAAGGTCCATCTGGGAATGAATTTCATCTATGCCACTTATTTCTGCCTTTTGGTTGGGTTACCTAACTTCTCTGGGTGTCAGTTTCCCTGACTGTAGAAAGGAAGAAATTTTAATATATTTTAACTCTGTTTGCTGATTGGTACATACTAAGGCTCAGTAAATGCTAGCTTTTAAAAAATATATATTTTATTGATTTCAGAGAGGAAGAAAGAGGGAGAGAGAGAGAGAAACATCAATAATGAGAGAGAATAATTGATTGGCTGCCTATGCACGATGGAGCCGGCAACCCGAGCATGTGCCCTTGACCGGAATCTAACCTGGGACCCTTCAGTTCGCAGGTCGCGGCTCTATCCACGGAGCCAAACCAGCAAGGGCGCTATCCTTTTTTATCCATGTATCTTGAGACAGACAGGAGTCACAAAATGGCAACATAAATGCCAGCATAAATGGCAACATTTGACTGACCTCATATGCATTTTTATTTATGTATTTGGAATGTGGGTAGCATTTTACTGCCACTCAGGGAAAGCAGCCCGGGAGTCCACGCCAGCAGCTGCCACTGCCGGAACTAGGCCTTGGATTCCGTGTTTTGTGGCCCAGGAAAGGAAGGAAGCGGGATGCAGGACTTCAGCACCCCGCCTCCCAGCTTCCGAAACCCCGTCAGAAGAGAGCATAAGTTTGACCGGCGTTCATTACGGCCAATCGGCAGCATGAAGGCAAGCCTGTAGGCCAATGGCGAGGCGGCCGGACGCCAGAGGGCCTCGGCCTGAAAGGCAGCAGAGGGCGGGGCGTCGCGAGTGGCGGGCGCGCTGACCAATGGGCGGCGGACTCCTCAGGGCGGGGCTCTGGCAGACGCGGTGACGTCGGCGCGGGTCAGCGCGTTACGGGCATCGGCGCGGCGAAGGGGACGGCGGGCTACGGGCTGCGGGAGGCGAAGAGCGGATTCTGTTGGAGGTCTGCGGGTATGGAGAACTGGATGGGGCGTTTGGAGAGCGGTAAAGGGTCCGGGCCTGCAAGGGGCGTGGCGGCCTCGGGGTAGCTGGAGCGGAGACATTACGGGACCCTTGGAGCTACCTATGAAGGGGGGCTATCAGGGTCTGCCTTGGAGCTTAACAGCGTAGGTTGGGGGCGAAGGACAATGGAGGAGACAGATTTGCGGGTCCCATTTGGGGTGAAGCAGACAGTGGCTTTGAGGAGAGGGAGGAGGTTAATCTTGCTAGGACGGTGAAAGTCAGGGGCAGGCAAGAATGGGTAGGAGGCTTGCAAGAGTTTGGAAGCCATTGCCCATTTCCTGGGGAATTCAAGACTCGGGGAGCACACCGCTGAGGAGGGTCTCAGGAGACTAGCCGAGGTGTGGGGGCAATGGGTGAGGACGAAGAGGAGTTGAGATGGCTGATGGGCAGGAAGGATGAGAGCGTGTTGAGGCTAGAACTAGGAAGTTGGGCCAGGAGTGAGGGAGTTCAGGATTTGGGGCTGTGACATACGTGGGGGAACTTTTAGGGATGTGTGGGGGCTCTGGAAGAAGCCTAGGAGTGTGAAGCAGAGAAAGGCTAGGGCAGAGTGTAAGGAGGGAGGTACATGGCTGGTGGGAGTGATGGGAGCGAGGTGGCACAGGGGGACTGGCCGACTCCGCGACCTTGTGGGTTGTTTGTTGTGAAAACGAGATGACACATGCACGTGCCCTTCCTGGAAACCTTGGACCCTCAGCGTGGAGTGATGTGAAACCGATGGTTGGTGAGCAGGTTGCTCTGTTTGCCAGGAATTATGGCCAGCACCTCACTTACTCTTTCTTCCCTATTACCCTGTCTCCTCCAGGGTCACGTGGGAGGGGACTTCCCGAGGTCCAGTCCCCAAGCTGCCTTGACTGGGCTTTCACCAGAGCGGAAGGCGCTGGAAGGCAGACCGGCGACCATGTCCACATTCAGGCAGGAAGATGTGGAAGACCATTATGAGATGGGGGAGGAGCTGGGCAGGTGAGTAGACAGACCCCTCTAACAAGGCTCTCCGGGGTTTTCTGGACAGCATGTCCCCTTGTGTCCTGTATCCTACCTTCCAAGAAGTGAATCAAGTTCATGTGCTGGTGGAATGAGTCTGGGCCTTGGCATCAGACATTCTGGCTGGGAGTCCTTGCTCTGACACCCTTTGTGCATTTCCTTTGGGAAGAAACATAATTGAGTACATATGGCATCTAACACAACGCCTGGCATATGTAGCTATTAGCAGGTTTAGTTGGCAGAGGTCTGTCCCTCTCGTTAATCCTCTCTTATGGGGAGTACTTGAGTCTCCCAGCTCTTGGCATTACCAGGGAAGGCCTCCTGCCTGGGCCCCATCTCCTGCCAATTGTGTGGCATTCTTATGGGAGAGAGAGGAGGTTTCCCTTGCCAGCCAGGCAGCTGACTTCCTGCCTGGCTGGGCCTTGGAGCGTCCCTTGGGAGCTTGCTCCCCAACTTGCCCCAGACCAGCCAGGCCCCCCCTTCTTCACCCCGCCATCCCCAGCTTGAAACCTTATTTGGTGAGTTTGCTGCTGGCCAAGGCCCATGATGTCACCAGAAGGGAATGTAAATAACTGAGCCGGCACCAGGCCTTTGCAGGCTCCTTTGGGATTCTGAAGTCTGTCCTTTAGGAATTTCCTCTGTTTTGAATGGTAAGGAATGATGTCTCTCTCTTCCCCTGCCTCCCAATCTCAAACTTTATTGTTGAAAATGGCCCTGACCGGCTTGGCTCAGTATTTCAGGCCTGCAGACTGAAAGGTCCCAGGTTCAATTCCGGTCAAGGGCATGTACCTTGGTTGCAGGCACATCCGCAGTAGGAGGTGGGCAAGAGGCAGCTGATCGATGTTTCTCTCTCATTGATGTTTCTAACTCTCTATCCCTCTCCCTCTCTGTAAAAAAAAAAAAAAAAAAAAAATCAATAAAATATATTGAAAAGAAAATGTATGAGGCTCTCCTGCTGAGGGTTGCTTGGCAAAAATCAGCAAAATGTCATATGTATATTCTCTTAAACTCACTGATTCCACTGAATTAATTCAGTGGGAATATATACATACATGGCCCAATGACTTGGGAACAGGAATGGTTGTTATAAAGATTTTATATGAGCAACAAATGGGAAGCCTCTTTAGTGGTCCTCACAGCCCCTTCATGGGTGGGTGGAGTGTTGTACAGCCATTGAAAGAGCCAGGCAGCCCTGGCTAGTGTGGCTCAGTTGGTTGAAGCATCATCCTGTACACCAAAGGTCTTGCAATTAGTTCCCAGCCAGGGCACATACCTAGGTTTCAGGTTCATTCCTTGGGGTGTGTGTAGGAGGCAAATGGTTGATTTTTCTTGCTCACATTGATGTCTCCCCCTCTCCCCAGTACCCTCTCTAAAAGTCAATGAAAAAAACAACAGAAGAGTTAGGCAACTTTTTAAAAAATATATATATTTTATTGATTTTTTACAGAGAGGAAGAGAGAGAGAGAGAGAGCTAGAAACATCGATGAGAGAGAAACATTGATCAGCTGCCTCTTGCACACCCCCTTCTGGGGATGTGCCCACAACCAAGGTACATGCCCTTGACCGGAAATGAACCTGGGACCTTACAGTCCGCAGGCCGACGCTCTATCCACTGAGCTAAACCGGTTTCAGCTTGTTAGGCAACTTGTATAATGTGAGCCACATAGGAAATTTATTGAAATTTAATTGAAAATTTTAAAGCTATGTCAATTTTAATAATTTATGCCCTAGCCCAGTGGTCGGCAAACTCATTAGCAACAGAGCCAAATAGCAACAGTACAAAGATTGAAATTTCTTTTGAGAGTCAAGTTTTTTAAACTTAAACTTCTTCTAATGCCACTTTTTCAAAATAGACTCACGTAGGCCGTGGTATTTTGTGGAAGAGCCACACTCAAGGGGCCAAAGAACTGCAGGTGGCTCGAGAGCCGCAGTTTGCCGACCGCGGCCCTAGCCTGTTTTCCCCAGTGGGTAGAGTGTTGACTGCGGACTGAAGGGTCCGTTCAATTTGAGCCAAGGGCACATGCCCGGGTTGTGAGCTCGATCCCCAGTAGTGGGAGGAGGCAGCCAATCAATGATTCTCTCTCATCATGATATATTTTTGTTTGTTTGTTACAGTTTTTTTAATTGTTTAAAGTATTATATTCATCATTGATGTTTTTTTTGTGTGTTTTTTAAAAAAATATATATTTTATTGATATTTTACAGAGAAGAAGGGAGAGAGATAGAGAGCCAGAATGTCAATGTGAGAGAAACATCGACCAGCTGCCTCCTGCACATCCCCCACCGGGGATGTGCCCACAACCAATGTACATGCCCTTGACCGGAATTGAACCCGTGACCCTTCAGTCCGCAGGCCGATGCTCTACCACTGAGCCAAACCGGTTTTGGTAATAATTGATGTTTTTATCTCGTTTTTATCTCTCTTCCTTTCCCTTCCTCTCTGAAATCAATAAAGAAATACATAAAAAATTTATTTTAATAATTTTAATCACATACTTTATTTAACCTGGTTGATCAAACTATTATCATTTTGTTTGTAATTGCTATAAAATCATTAGTGAAAACTATTTAAAAAAATATATTTTTATTGATTTCAGAGAGGGAGAGCGATAGATAGAAACATCAATGATGAGAATCACTGATCAGCTGCCTCCTGCACTCCCTTCGCTGGAGGTCAGCCTACAACTCCACCATGTGTCCTAACTGGGAATCGAACTGTGACCTCCTGGTTCATAGGTCAGTGTTCAACCACTGAGCCACGCTGGTCGGGAAAACACTTTTAACTGCAGGTGAATGTGGCCCTCATCCATTTATGTGACTTTTTTTTATTTTTTATAAATAATTTGAGAGGAAAGAAGAGAGAGAAGCATAGATATGAGAAAAACATGGATCGGTTGCCTCCTGCATGCACCTGGACCGGGGATTGAACCCTTAACCTGGGTATGTACCCTGACCAGGAATCAAACCCACTACCACCCTTTGGTGTCTGGGCCAACCAACTGAGCCACACCGGCCAGGGAGCGTGAGACATTCTTTCCACGTGGTCAGGTGTCCTTTCTTCCCATCGGAGGGAAGCATGGCTTCCCCCCACCTGCAGCCACGGGCTTTCCCCAGCATCTCGGGAAGGAAGATGGTTTCTGGTGTGGCTGTGCGGCGGCGGCTGCAGCGAAAGAGTTTGGCGCGATGTCTCACACCATTTTGCTGGTCCAGCCTACCAAGAGACCGGAAGGCAGAACTTATGCTGATTATGAATCAGTGAATGAGTGCATGGAAGGTGTTTGTAAAATGTATGAAGAACATCTGAAGAGAATGAATCCCAACAGCCCCCATATGATATCAGCCAGTTGTTTGATTTTATTGATGATCTGGCGGACCTCAGCTGTCTTGTTTACCGAGCTGTTACATAGCAGCCTTATAACAAAGATTGGATTAAAGAGAAGATCTACATGCTCCTTCGTCGACAGGCCCAGCAGGCCAGGAAATAGTTGTGTTGGAAGCATTTGGGGGTGGGGGTGTGCTTGGAACACAGGTGTGTACAGCAGTCTGTAGTGTATTATAGTAATCCTGTTTCCGTTTTGGTACACCCTAGCCAGGACTGAATGTGTTAGATGATATGTGAGAATCTTGTTCAAATCTGAACTCCCATCACACCCCCCCTTTTCCTCTTTTTTTACTTAAACATTGTTATGATGACCTAGAAGGAAGTTTTTCTTTGTCAGTTAATGTTGACTCCAATCCTTCATATCTGCTTTATAACATTCACTGTACTAACCCTTCTTCAAGTTGGGGTGGGGGTAGTGACACAGTTTAATTATGTGCTAAGATAAAGTCTTAGTGAAAAACAGATAAATGTTCTTTAGTTAAAAAAAGAAAGAGAAAAAGGAAAGAGAAAATGCCGTTTCTCTCCAAATCTGTTCATGTTTGTTCCGTACGCTGGCCTGGGGCGGGCCCGCCCTCTGCACTGTGGGCCCAGCTCAGTGAGAACTGTTATCACTTTAAAAAATATATACTGTTATTGATTTCAGAGCTGAAGGGAGAGGGAGAGAGAGAGAAACATCAGTGAAGAGAGAGAGTCATTGGTTGGCTGCCTCCTGCACACCCTCCCTGGGGATGGAGCTGGCAGCCCAGGCATGTGCCCTGGCCGAGAACTGAATGACCTCCTGGCTCATAGGCTGACGCTCAGCCACTAAGCCAGACCAGCTGGGCTCCCTTTTTTTTATATGAAGCCTTTGAAATCTAGTGTGTATTGTATGCTCACAGTACATTTAATTTGCACGGGCCTGACAGCTGCTGTGTGGCCAGTGGCTGCTACTTGGACAGCACCATGTATGTAATTGTCCAGAACCGTGATTGGCAAACTGAGGCTCGCCAGCCACATGCGGCTCTTTGGCCCCTGGAGTGTGGCTCTTCCACAAAATACCATGGCCTGGGCGAGTCTATTTTGAAGAAGTGGCGTTAGAAGTTTCAGTTTAAAAAATGTGGCTCTCAGAAGAAATTTCAGTCGTTGTACTGTTGTTATTTGGCTCTGTTGACTAATAAGTTTGCCAACCACTGGTCCAGAACATTCTCAGCGATAAATGAAGTGAAAGATTAATGACACATATCACTGCATACCATGTTGCAACTTGTATAAATTGTAGTTGTCCTTTGGACATCTGAGTTTGTTTTTCTGTGTATTTTTTTGTAATATATATTTTATTGATTTTTTATAGAGAGGAAGAGAGAGGGATAGAGAGCTAGAAACATCGATGAGAGAGAAACATTGACCAGCTGCCCCCTGCACACCCCCTACCGGGGATGTGCCCACAACCAATGCACATGTCCTTGACCGGAACCGAACCTGGGGGACTCCTCCCCCCCCCCGAGTCTGCAGACCGACGCTCTGTCCACTGAGCCAAACTGGCCTCGGCCTTTTTTTTTTTTTTTTTTTTTTTTAATTGATTTCAGAGAGGAAGGGAGAGGGAGAGAGCGATAGAAACATCAATAATGAGAGAGAATCATTGATCGACAGCCTCCTTCATGCCCCCTTCACTGGGTTACAAACCCACAACCTGGAATTGTGCCCTGACCAGGTATCAAACCATGACCTCCTGGTTCATAGGTAGACAGATGCTCAACCTCTGAGCCATGCCAGCTGGGCTCCATTGATTTTTAGAGAGAGCAGGAAGGAGGGAGGGAGAGAGAAACATCAATGTGAGTGAGACACATTGACTGTTTGCCTCCTGCACATGCCCTAACAATCTAACTACTGAGCAACACTAGCCAGGGTGCTTTTTTATTTTTTTTAAAGGGTTTTAAAGGGTTTAAGAACACAGAAAGATTGTGACAGAGACCACAATTGTGTATATGGCCCATACAGCTTAGCATATTTACTGTTTGACCTTTTTAGTCAACTTCTGAGTTAAAGCAAGTTATTTTGCTACCTAGGAATTTATCTACTAAGTTCCTAGGTAGCAAAATAGTTTGGCTCAGTGGATAGAGCACATGTGTCAAACACAAGGCCCGCGGGCCAAATCCGTCCTGCCAGGCCTTGCAATGTGGCCCGCACCGCGCTGTCATCACTGCACTCCACTGCGTTTCCATCACAATGACAGTTTATGACTGTTCAGTAAACCATTCGGCCCGCGATTTAGGCTGGATTTTAGATTTTGGCCCCTTCTCTGATTGAGTTCGACACCCCTAGGATAGAGCATCAGTTCGAGCAAGAGGCAGCTGAGCAACGATTCTCATCATTGATGTTCTCTCTCTCCCTCTCCCTCTCAGAAATCAATAAAAATATATTTTAAAACAATAGCGTAGACATTGGATAGCTCTCTGGAGTGCAGTATATAGAATTTATCTCTCTTTTAAATTGCCCTAGCCAATTTGGTTCAGTGGATAAAGAATTAATGTGGATTGAAGCGTCCCAGGTTCGATTCCAGTCAGGGGCATGTACATTGATTGCGGGCACATCCCCGGTAGGGGGTGTGCAGGAGGCAGCTGGTCGATGTTTCTCTCATCGATGTTTCTAGCTCTCTATCCCTCTCCCTTCCTCTCTGTAAAAAATCAATAAAATATATTTTTTTAAATAGTTGAATCAGTATGGAATTGTATCAAATAAGAAACCCTCTGTGCTGCCCTTAGTTCCTCCGTCTCAGTCCTCAGAGATGACTATTGTTAACAGCGTGGTGTGTGTCTTTCAGACCTTATTTTCTCCATAGACATACATAAATATATCTGTATGTACGGATACAACATATACCATTTTAAACAAAAAGATCTCACTGTAGGTGTCACTTTGCAGGTGATTTTTTTCACTGAGCTTAAAGAGTTGCCTTCATTCTTTTTCATGATGGTATAAAATTCCACTGGGTTTATTTCCATGATGGATTTCAGTCCCCTCTTGGTAAACATTGAGTTGTTTTTATTTTGTTCACTGTTGCAAAAAATGCCAGGCAGCCATTGTGTCTTGTACACTTTGCATAGCAGCATACCTGCGGGGTACATCTTGGACGCAGTGGAGACTTGCATCTACACGATGCCCCAGGAGATGGTGGCGGGCCTAGGTCCCTCTTGATGCTCTGATCACCTCCCTTCTCCTCTGTCCCTGCAGCGGCCAGTTTGCCATTGTGCGGAAATGCCGGCAGAAGGGCACTGGGAAGGAGTACGCAGCCAAGTTCATCAAGAAACGCCGCCTGTCATCCAGCCGGCGGGGGGTCAGCCGGGAGGAGATTGAACGGGAGGTGAACATCCTGCGGGAGATTCGGCACCCCAACATCATCACTCTGCATGACATCTTTGAGAATAAGACCGATGTGGTGCTCATCCTGGAGCTGGTTTCTGGCGGGGAGCTCTTTGATTTCTTGGCCGAGAAGGAGTCGCTGACAGAGGACGAGGCCACTCAGTTCCTTAAGCAGATCCTGGACGGCGTCCACTACCTGCACTCCAAGCGCATCGCCCACTTTGACCTCAAGGTAAGCTCTGGACCAGCCTGGCTGGCCGGTGCAGGTGAGGATGGGGGCTCCGAGAGGGATCTACTCTCATGGGCACAGAATATATACCTCCTGGATCTGTGATGCTCTGGAAGTTGAGGAGAGGGACCTGCTCAGGCTGGACCCTCAGGGTGGGATCAGCCTGGCCACACCCGATGGCTGGGAGTTGGGGGGGTGCCTAGGGAAATTCCAGGTGCTGTTCCCAGAGATTCCAGGCCGGCAGAAGCAGCAGATCCTCCTCCCACTGCCCTGTTCTCCCTTCCCCAACCCAGCCCGAAAACATCATGCTCCTAGACAAGAACGTGCCCAACCCACGAATCAAGCTCATTGACTTCGGCATCGCTCACAAGATTGAAGCCGGGAACGAGTTCAAAAACATCTTTGGCACCCCAGAGTTTGTCGGTAAGGCCCTGCCTGGGCACCAGGGGCTGGGGCTTGGGTAGGTGTATTCCAGGATTTCCAGCGGTGTAGGGGGAGTTGGGCCTGGTCCCTGGATGTCGGACTCACTGCCCTCAGGTGCCCTGGCATTGGGCAAGGGGGAGCTCAAGACCTCAGTATTTAGCATTGGCCCACGCACCACAGGGCTGCAGGCTCGATTCCTGATCAAGGGCACATTCCTGGGTTGTAGGTTCAATTCCCTGGCCCAGGTGGGGGCACTTGAGGGAGGCAACTAATCCATGTTTCTCTCCCTCTCCCTCTCCCTCCCTCTCCCTTTCCCTCCTCCCTTCTCCCTCCTCCCTCCTCCCTCCCTCCTCCCTCCTTCCTTTCCACTCTCTAAAAATCAATGGGAAAATATGACCTCGGGTGAGGATTACCAATAACAAAAAGACCTTGGGGTGGTGCTGTCACTGTCCCAACCTTCCTGCTTCAGAGCTGGCCTTGCGTGTGTTTTTGTGGGTGTTCCCTGAGTGACCTCTTCAGAGGTGAGGGGAACCGTACCACTTCCCCTGGCTCTGTGCCCAGCGTGGCCTTAGATGCAATCAGTTCCTGACCCTGTGCCTTCTGTTCCCTGTCCCTGCAGCTCCGGAGATTGTCAACTATGAACCCCTGGGTCTGGAGGCGGACATGTGGTGAGTCAGGGGTGGCTGTGGGGACCCAGGGCTGCTCAGTGCTGAGTCCAGCGTACACACCTGGGACCCTCCGGGAATCTCCCCCTGCTCATCCCCAGGAGCTGCAGGCTGGGGCATCGCCAGCCCACGGGCTTGGTGCTGTGGGGCATAGGCGGGGTGGACCATTGCCTTAGAATAGGGCTCAGCAAAATGCAGCCCAGCGGCCAGAGTGGTGGTCTCAGTTTTTTGTTTTTTTTTAAAGGGCCATTAAAAACAGCAGAGCCCTAGCTGGTTTGGCTCGGGGATAGAGTGTTGGCCTGTGGACTGAAGGGTCCTGGGTTCGATTCCGATCAGGGTACGAACCTCAGTTACAGGCTCCTCCTGGCTGGAGCAGGAGTCAACCAATTGATGTGTTTCTTTCACATCGATATTTCTCTGTCTTTTTCTCTCTCTTCCACTCTCCCTAAAAATCAATGGAAAATGTCCCCCGTTTGTAAATCTCATGGGGTCCCTTAGAGATTAGGGGACACGTGCCTGAGGGGAAAGGAAGAGAAGGGAATGGCACAGGTATGCTCCCGGAGGGAGACCTTCATTTCCAGGGGTTTTTAAAGGCAGGGCATTCAGGGGAGGTGTTAAGGGAGCATCAATAGACTATTGATTACCAAATAGACTATTTGGTACATTATGCTGATGTACCAAAAGGAGGGGAATTGGTCCTTGTTTCACTGTCCTAAGTGTGTGTTTGCTGTGGTCAATACATTCTTGTTTACTTTTCTTTAAAAAAACAGCAACAACAAGAAAGTAGTTTGCCGATCCTGCTGGCCCTATACTGGTCCCCGATCTGCAGGGACTGGGGGGCCATGGTGCTGTTTGCCCGGCCCCCTCTGTGGCCCCTTTGAGCCTTGACAGGAGGGTGTGGCCAAAGGTGTTTAAATAGCTAGTCCTGACACCCCAGGACAGGAGAAGGGGAGCGGGGCTGACAGACCTACAGCCCAGCTGGCCCAGGAGCCTTGGGCTTATAGCGCCCCCCTGTGGGCTCTGGGCCCCTGCTCTGTAGAAACTCTGGGAGTCAGTGTGCTGCACCCCACAGCTAAGCTGGCCTTTCTCTTCTCCTGTGTCCCCTTCTAGGAGCATTGGCGTCATCACCTATATCCTGTGAGTACCCGTCTGACACTTCCTGCTCCCCCCCCCCATCGTTACGTTTTAGGAAATTCCAAGGATTATGGGAGCCATATATCCAAGGACCAGGCTGAAGACCAAATACATGTTGTCTTCCATAAGCCAGTGTCAGTTGCCCAGAGCCCCACAGGGGTGCAGAGTACAGGAAGGCGGGTGCCACCTGTGTCCTCACTAGTGCATCGACCGTGTGCTAGGTGGCATCAGCCAAGATTCTCTTGGAAAGTGACTGTTTTTCCACTGGAATCACTAAATGTTCTGGGGCAGATTCTTTGAAATTGTACATCTACATCACATGTGTCAAACACAAGGCCCGCGGGCCAAATCCGTCCCGCCAGGCCTTGCAATGTGGCCCGCACCGCGCTGTCATCACTGCACTCCGCTGCGTTTCCATCACAATGACAGTTTATGACTGTTCAGTAAACCATTTGGCCTGCGATTTAGGCTGGATTTTAGATTTTGGCCCCTTCTCTGATTGAGTTCGTCACCCCTAATCTACATAGATACTTGGAGCTTCCACAAGGATTTTCACTCATAGGTTTTAGCATCTGTCTAGCTGGGTGTTGACCTCTTACTGCCTTCTGGTTGGCAGCCGGAGGGGGCAGCGGGGGCTGGTTGGAAGGTCCAGGGGAACGCACGTGTGGGATGGTTAGGACTCAAGGTCCACCTTCCTCTGCTGGCCCCGTCGTGAGCGCTCCAGAGTTTGGTGGTGCCCGGGCAGCAGCCTGGTGACGGAACAAACGCAGGGGACACTGAGCCCCACGTTTGTCTTCCAGTTTGAGTGGCGCGTCCCCATTCCTGGGTGAGACCAAGCAGGAGACCCTGACCAATATCTCCGCCGTGAACTACGACTTCGATGAGGAGTACTTTAGCAACACCAGCGAGCTGGCCAAGGACTTCATTCGCCGGCTGCTTGTCAAGGACCCCAAGTAAGCACACGCTGGGCAGAGGGGTCGGGGAGCGGCCCTGAGGGAAGGCCGAGGAGTCTCCCTGCTTGGTGGTGTGGCTGGGGAGACAGCTCTCGGGTCACCACGTCTTTGTACCTGGCTCCTGCTTTGGGCTGGAGAGAGCAATGGATGGCTTAGGTTGGCCCACACTGGGTTTTTAGAAGCTTTAATTCATTGCCAGCTTCAAAATTGGGGTTTCCCATGAAATTCCAGGCTGCTGCTTTTTTTGCTTTTTTTTAAAGAAAACCACCTCAAAGTCCTGGCAGCACAGCGCCCCCATTCATAAGGAGGTGCTCTCTGTGGCTGCAGCCCTCCCTGTGTATTCTGCCCATTCTTGTTGCCTTCCCCGCCCCTCCTTGGGTACCTGCGTTGTGAGTTGTTCGTTGTTTGATCCCAGCACTAGGTCTCGACCCTGTTCATCCCTCGGAGAGTACTGAGAACCCAGAATCTATGCCCCAAAGGCGCCTTGACAGGCTCCTGGTGGTTGGCTTAGCAGAGAGGGTGCTCTGGATTGTGTGTGTAATTTCAAGGTCACTTCAGGACTTGCTGCCAGGCTGGAAGGGTGAATTTAGGGGCTGGGGGTCCTCAGGGACAGATGTCTGAGCCAGCCCTTGACGGGCTGCTGAGAGCAGAACTGAGGCAGGGAGAGCCAGGAAAACCGTTCCATATGTGCAGGTGCACATATGACTAACCAGGGCTGGGGTGGGGTGCTTTTCCAGGAGGAGAATGACCATCTCCCAGAGCCTGGAGCATTCCTGGATCAAGGTGAGGTGGGGGCTGCCCCCACTGAGGGAGGGTGGTTATGACAAGCCCTCAGATCCAGGGAGGGCCCCCGAGTGGTGGGGTGGGCAGTGGGAGATGAGGTGCTCCCGGAATGGTGTCAGAGCCATCTCACGGCGGCATCCGCTGGCATCCTTGGTCCTGCACTCAGCAGGTCTCCCTCCCACGGAAACTTGCAGAGGGGTCCCTTCTCGGCCACAGTTGGCAGCCTTCTGCAAAGGGCCAACCACTGTTTTTTGCTCTGTGGTCCCTGCGTCACTATTCAGCTCTGCCTTCGTATCAGGAAAGCACCATGACCATATGCATGCAAATAAGCATGTCTGTGTGCCAACAAAACTTTCTTTACAGAAGCAAGCAGAGGGCTGGACACGGCCCTCGGTGGTCAGCCCCCTGCCCCGTCCCAGGCTGTGTTCTCTCCCCTGCAGGCGATCAGGCGGCGGAACGTGCGGAGGGAAGACAGTGGCCGGAAGCCGGAGCGGCGGCGCCTGAAGACAGCCCGCCTCAAGGAGTACACCATCAAGTCCCACTCGAGCATGCCCCCCAACAACACCTACATCAACTTCGAGCGCTTCTCCAAGGTGCTGGAGGAGGTGGCGGCGGCCGAGGAGGGCCTGCGTGGGCTGGAACACAGCCGGCGGCTCTTCCACGAGGACATCGAGGCCCTGACGGCCATCTACGAGGAGAAGGAGGCCTGGTACCGGGAGGAGAACGAGAGCATCGGCCAGGACCTGCGGCGGCTGCGGCAAGAGCTGCACAAGACCGAGGCCCTCCAGCGGCAGGCCCAGGAGGAGGCCAGGGCCGCCCTGCTAGGGGCCAGCGGGCTCAAGCGCCGCTTCAGCCGCCTGGAGAACCGCTACGAGGCTCTGGCCAAGCAGGTGGCCTCCGAGGTGCGGTTTGTGCAGGATCTCGTCCGCGCCATGGAGCAGGAGAAGCAGCAGGAGGTGGAGTGTGGCCTCCGCTAGGGCCACGTGTGGCCGGTGGGCCCCGAGGGTTCTGCGGGTGGTTGTCCCCTTCACAGCCCCGGAGCCAGGCCCTCTGTCATTATCTGGCTCTAGAGAGTTCCCGGGCTGGGGCTGAGATGGGAAGAGGCTGGACTGGGTGGGATGTGCTTCATGGGGCCCAGAATTCACTGCTGAGAGGAGGGGCTTGGCCGGCTCTGCCCCAGGAAGACTGCTGTTCTGGGCCTCCTCCGCACAGCCTGTCTGCTCTGGCTTGGCTTCCCCAGTCCCCCCCCCCCCCCCCCCCCCCCATTTCTCTCTTTCTCTCTCATTCTCACAACAGCGGTGGTGGGGTGGGGTGGTGGTGGCGCTTCTGGGGTAGTGTCTTCTCTGGAACTTTGAACTCTCTGCGAGGGGTTGGTACCTCCAAGATGGCCTGGCCCTGATGGACACAGATGCTTCATGCCTGGCCCAGTGGCAGGTGGCAGCCTTCATGTCCTGTGTTAGGGGCTGCAGGGCAGTCAGAGGACATGGAGCAGGGCCTGGGCACCACCTTCAGGCCCTCCCTGCCCATCCAAGCACACCCAGCCCCAGGGCTCGGAATTGGAGGGGCCCCTGCTGGATATGGGCCTCTCCTGTGAGCTGAAGGAAATAAAGCCCGATCCTGACAGTCAGCCGTTGTCTGTGCTTGGGCCAGGTTGGGCAGCCAGGTTGGTCACCTGGTGCCTGGGTCGCGAGCTCGATCCCCCTCTAGCGGTGGGAGGTGGCTCCTCCATGGTCAGGGCCTCAGAGCACTGTTCTTCCAGTTCCGGGCACTCGGAACCTTGAGCTGGCACCATGGCCAGAGCTGAGGAGATGGCCCAGCCTTGAGGAGGTATCAGTCTGGAGGTAGTATGGGGAGTAGGAGGGCATTGTGGCTAAGCATGTTGCCTAGATGCAGTAAAGGAAACATCTGCAAAAGCTAAGTGTGTTTTTCTGGAGGCCCAGGAAGTCCCTGGGTGAGGCAGGTCTTGGCGGTCAAGCAGCTGCGGACACGAGTAGCCCTCCCCAGTGTGGAGCCATCTCCTCTTTTTTTTTTTTTTTTTTTTTTTTTTTTTTTTTTAATATATTTCATTGATTTTTTACAGAGAGGAGGAGAGAGGGACAGAGAGCTAGAAACATCGATGAGAGAGAAACATTGACCAGCTGCCTCCTACACCCCCTCCCCCCCACTGGGGATGTGCCCGCAACCAATGTACATGCCCCTGACCGGAATCGAACCCAGGACCCCTCAGTCCGCAGACCGACGCTCTACCACTGAGCCAAACCGGTTTTGGCTTTCGCCTCTTTTTTTTTTTTTTTTTTTTTTTAAATATATTTTTATTGATTTTTTACACAGAGGAAGAGAGAAGGATAGTGAGTTAGAAACATCGATGAGAGAATCATTGATCAGCTGCCTCCTGCACACCTCCTACTGGGGATGTGCCCGCAACCAAGGTACACACCCTTGACCGGAATCGAACCTGGGACTTTCCAGTTTGCAGGCCGATGCTCTATCCACTGAGCCAATCCGGTTTCGGCCCATCTCCTCTTTTCACTCCCTCATAATGCCAGGTGCAAGTTCCTCATGACACGCAGTTCTTGAAGTGCCAACGCCAGCAGTGGAGTCTCTTCCCTGCCTCAGTTCCTGGCCCTGCCCTACCAGCTCCTGCCTCATTCCTTTCTCCAGTGCTGCCTTTTAACTGTTAGGGCTCCAGGCCAGCATCCCTTGGTAGGGACCACATGGAGTAGTCACAAAAGGCTTATGGGCCCAGCTTCCCTTTCCCCAGAGAACCTTAGGGTTCCTCAGCACCCCCACACTCAGACTCTGCTGTTCTGTGTGGGAAGAAGCCCATTTGCCTGCCTCTGCCTCTGCCTCTGCCGGTTTCCAAGTGCATCTGGCTCGGAACTCTCAGGAGCACTGCCCTGGACTAGCGGGGTTGAAGGGTTACCGTGGGCAGTGCTGTCGTTGCCACTAGGTGCCACCCTTGAGCAGGATCTTGTACCTCCTAAGAAAGTTCTCTAAGGTCCAGGCTTGAACAAAATATGGGTCCCTAGCTGGTGGCCACTCTGAGCTCAGAGATCCCTGCTGCACGTTGGGTTAAGAGAGGGAAATCTGTGTAGACACTTCGCCCCCAGCCTGGCCAAGTGCAGGGAAGAACCAGGCAGGTGGGGCTTGTATTCCTGCCAAGGCTGCTGACCAAGGCTTCTGCTACCAGGACGCTGCCAGGGCTGAGGCAGGGTCTTGAGACCTGGCTGTGGGGTCTGGTGGAGGGAGTGGGACCCCCTGCACCCCCTCCATGAGCTCCATTCAATTGCATATAAGACCTCTGCAGACGTGTCTGCTATGAGCCGAAAGGAAATAAAGCTGCAATTCTGACATACAGCCATTGTCTGTGCTTGTTTCCCTGCTCAGCTTCCAGCAACTATTTTCCAAGGCAGATCCAAGTTGGGCAGCCAGCTTGGGTCACCTGGTGCCAGGGTTGCGGGCTCGATCCTCAGTGGGGAGTGTGCAGGAGGCAGCTGATCAATGATTCTCATCATTGATGTTTCAATCGCCCTCTCCCTCTCTGAAATCAGTAAAAAAATATATATTAAAAAAATATATGACTAGGTAGAAACTGAAATTCACTTGGACTCACACCTACCCTTTCAGTATGCACGGTCCACCATGCTGCAGGACTAAATCTGCAGCACCTTTTAGGGGGTGATGGGCAAGTGTCCTTGCTCTGGAGATTTCTGCCCCACTCTCCTGACCTGGGTTATCTTAAGTGGCTCAGCTCAGTGCAGCCTCAGTTTACTCACCCTATTGGTTGAGGGCATGGGGAGCCACCTTGGGGCCATAAAGCACCTTCCAGAGTGTGTAGCCCACACAAGCACTTGCCAAATAGCGCTGCTACCCATTGCAAAGCCTGCCGGGCTGGTGTGCTGTCACTCATGACGGCAGCAGGCAGACTCCGGGATGTCCCCCCTGGACCCCTGGTTCTTGCCAATCACTCCCCAGGAGTGGGCTGGCCTAGAGCCAGGTTCTAACCAGCAGGATTCGGCAGAGGTGGTAGAGGTCAGCTGCGCTTGTGGAAATACAGCTCTGGATAAAAGCCATCTGTTTATTAAGCGCACCAGTGAGGATGTAGTAACCACAGATCCATCGCTGGCATCGCTGTGTTTGAGGATACGTCAGAGGAGCTTCGAGAACATCTGGAATCTCTCCCATAACGCTGCCCGCACAGTGAAGTTCAGTTTCCCTGCTCAGCTTCCAGCAACAATTTTCCAGGGCAGATCCAGCGCCTGTTAAAGATACTATTGTAAATGGAGTCAGCTCCCCGCAGTGCCCAGCCTCACAGCAGTAGCATCATCTTGATTCCTTTCTTCAGCTACAGTGACAAATGGGTATGAGTCATGGAGCAGCCCGAGACTTGTGGCGATCACCCTGCCAGGCTCCATGCCGGGACTCTGCTCAGGTTCCAGGCCCAGGCAGGCTTGCTGGGCCACCCGTCCACCACACAGCGGGACGCCTGGTTGCCTTTCACTCTTGAGCCCCTCGCTGTTTCTGTGCAGAAGACTAACGCTGAGTATTTCGTCAGCTTCCATATCCGACACTGATGCCCATGGGTGCCTCGCCAAAGCCAGGCTCCAAGACTTTTTCCTCTTACCTCATGGATTCTAAAGCAAAAGCTGACTACCGGCTCTGGGTTCCAGGCTGGTATGCCTCAGGTGGGGAGAGCTGGAGACGAGTGAAGGTGGCTCAGCCTCGTGGAATTCTTTTTATCATTTTATCAAAAAATACTACTGGTGGGTTTAAAGTCCTCTTGCCTTTTTCCTATGGGAATGTCCAGCACTAATTTAGTTCATTTACTTAAAAAAAATCTTAAAAAAAAATATTTTTATTGATTTCAGAGAGGAAGAGAGAGGGAGAGAGAGCTAGAAACATCAATGTTGAGAAAGAATCATTGATCAGCTGCCTCCTGAACGCCTACTGGGGATTGAGCCTGCAACCCAAGTATGTGCCCTTGACTGGAATCAAATCCAGGACCCTCCAGTTCGCAGGCCAATGCTCTACCCACTGAGCAAAACCAGCTAGGTCATAGTTCATTTACTTTCTGTTTTATTTTGCATTTTATTGCTATGAAGATGGGAGCATTACACCATTACTGGCTCTATATCACTTCTTTGGCATTATGGTATGCACTTTGAAGCAGGTAAATCTTGTTTGCTCATAAGAACTGTGTACATCCTTTCTACTTAGCCAACAGGCAGGACCATCTTTGTGAGGAAACAAAATAAAGCCTTGGTATTTTCTTATTAAAAAAAAATGTGGATCCTTACCCATGTAAGCTTTCAGATGAAATCCAGCTCTGGTTATCTGGATTGCAGCCCCCAGAGACACCTTGCAGAAGGTCCAGGTAGGCCATGCCCCAGTTCCTGGTCCGTAGAAACTGAGATACCATACGTTTTAAGCCACTGTTTGCAGTGGTTTGTTTTGCAGCAGTAGCTGACTATCTGTATAAAACCCTAATATGCAAATAGACTGAACTCTCAAACAACTGAACAACCAGTTGCTATGATGTGCACTGACCACCAGGGGGCACACACAGAACATGGTGGGCATCGGCCGAGGTGGGATGGTGGAGCAGGTGAGTGGGGGCGCCAGACCAAGGCGGGGTGCCAGTCACTGTCATTGGGTGAACCTCTGGTGGTTACTGATAATTCTTTGCTCCTGCACACTTGACGGATTTGCGTGTCACCCTTGCGCTTGGGCCATGCTAATCTTCTCTGTATCATTCCAATTTTAGTATGCTAGCACGTGCTGCCTGCTTCTTAAGATGGTTTGGAGGCAGGAACTGTGGGATCCTTGAATGCCATCCCTCTAGCTGTCAGGAGTCTACCCCTATGTTGGCTTAGGATTGGCTGCAGTGTGTGTGAAGCTCTTCGGAAGGTGTTGATCTCAAAGCAAAGGTCATGACCAGCATGGAACCTGCTGGGCTCCGTGAAGGGTGTCAGCCACGGGATGACAGGCACATGGGTTTGTGAGTCAGGGTCTGTCCCTGTCCTGGGATCTCAGCCCCCTTCCGGGAGATTCTCTGCAGAGTGAGTCACACTACCCGGGCACCTTCAGGTGACGGGGGTGTGAGCCAGTTCCCTGCCCTGGGAGGGAGGGAAGCCTGACTCCCACAGTTGGCCCTCCCCCTACATTGCAGCCGGATCTCTGGCAGCCTGGCAGCCTGCCCTGGCCTCCATGTTCCTAGGTGCAAAATGGTAGTCATTCCTCCTTTTCCTGTCTGAGACGCCGTGAGGATTAAGTGAGAATTTGTAGAGGGGTTTTGTAACCCTCAAGTGCTGCATACCGTGTTTCCCCAAAAATAAGACATCCTCCGAAAATAAGACCTACTTACAGGTTTCCTTCTGAGTGAAATATAAGGCATCTCCCCGAAAATAAGGCGCCCCCCCCCAGGCTAAACATGAGAGATTTGGTCCACTGATTCTGAAAGAAATGGAGTCACAAGAAATTCACCAGGAAATTCAGGAATTGGATTGTTATGATGATGTTCCAGAAGATGATGACATGATTGTCATTGAATAAATGAGTAAATTCTTTTTTTTTTAATATATATTTTATTGATTTTACATAGGAATTGAGAGGGAGAGTTAGAAATGTCGATGAGAGAGAAACATCAACCAGCTGCCTCTTGCACACCCACCACTGTGGATGTGCCCGAAACCAAGGTACGTGCCCTTGACCAGAATCAAACCCGGGACCCTTCAGTCCCCAGGCCGACACTCTATCCACTGAGCCAAACTGGTTACGGCAATGAGTCAATTCTTGATACTGTAGGATTCACAGTTTGTCTGGTTTGTGTTGACAACTACCATACTACCGTACTGTATACAGGTAATAAATTTCCTTTATTTTCATTTAACAATAAATGTGTACTGTATTCTTCTTCATGGAAAAATAAGACATCCCCTGAAAATAAGACCTAGTGCATCTTTGGGAGCAAAAATTAATATAAAACACTGTCTTATTTTCGGGGAAACAGGGTACATGCTGATGGTACAGCCAATCCAATCAGAGTCTCCTGGACCAAGCTCAGAGGACACCAAAGCTGGCATTCCTGAGGCGGCCAAGTCCTCCGAAGGGCCATCAGCACAGAGACAGACATGGGGTTGTAGGGGCAGGCGCATCGATCACATTCACTGATGCGAATGGTTCCTCAGGCTGGCAGGAATGTGACACCCGATACTGGGGCATCAGCAGCCACGGTGCCCTGCCCCTTGGTCAGGAGGGCGCCGGGCAAGCAGACCTCCTCCTCGGAAGGTGCCGTGGGGAGGCCGGGAGCCCTAATGTTAGGCCTTACATCACAGCTTGTTCTGCCACACGCTCCCTCCGGGAGGAGTCAGACAGTCCTGGGTTCAAACACAGCCTGGTTGGGCTCCTGCTCGTGCATAGACGCCATCTCTCTGGGTGCCAGTCTCACCTTCTCCCAGGGTGAAGGGGAGAGTGGAAGGAAAGGGGACGTAGGGTCCAGCACAGACTGGGGGCCCCAAACACGAGTCTTGTTAGACTGGGGGGAGAGGGGGCTAGGCTGTAGGACTTACCACGCCACACTGAGCTCCCCTTGGTGGCACTTACGTCCCAGGCGGTGTGGGGGCCCAGCCCAGCGGGCACGGAGGAGGTCTGCTTCCCCTCTCGAAGGTCAGAGGGCAGTCCTGTGCCGCCTTCCCCAGGCCCCGTGGCCACCCGCGGGTGCCAGCCAGGCTCGCAGCTGCCCCGCTTCTGACCATATTTGAGCAGGAACCCTTGGTGGCTATTAATAGCCACGGCGGGCGGCGGCACAGGCAGGAGGCTCCTATAAAGCCAGGACTGCCGGCCCCGGCGGCTCCTTCAGCCCTTGAGACCTTTGCCCCCTCCCTGTTGTGAGAGAGAAGAAAAGTAAGTACGAAAACCACCCCCGCCCCTCCGCCCGACCCCGCTCGGTGGCCTGAGAAGTGAGACACGGAACAGTGCTGAACCACACACCCCGCGCACAGGATGTCTGAAGCACAGCCTCGGCGGCACCTAACTGTCCCAGGCGGTTCGGGGCCCAGCCCAGTGGGGAAGAGGGCAGCGAGGAGGGCGGAGAGGAGGCGGAGGGGCCGGGGGCTGGGCCTCCTCCTCACTGTTCTCTGTGTCCCAGCGGGGACAGGGCCAGGAGCCCCCTGCCGGGGACAGGTGGCCCCAGAGTGCATGCGTCCGGCGGGGATGTGACGGCAGGGACTGAGGTTGGGGCTCCCTCACTCCCCGGTCCCCAGACATCCTGGCGTCTCCCCGCCCCTCGGGGTTTTGTACTTTGAAGGTCCCTTTACGGGCCCGCACAGAATGAACTGTTGGCATCTATACCGAACCCCTCAAGACGCTTCGGCTCCGTGAGCTGCCCCACTCCCTGCCGCCTCCTTCCCTCCCAGAGGCTCCGCTGTTTGGTGACCTTGAATGCCAGAGACACTTCCAGGGAACAGGGAGGCAGCAGGTCATCCTTGGGTACCCCCGCCCCCGGACCCCCAGAATGTGTTAGGTGGAACTGGGGATGGTGGAGGGCATTTGGCGGTGAGGCCGTCAGCCACCCCTGTCTGTCCTCATCGCCCCCTCCTCTCCCGGGCACTGGCCCCAGGGACACCGTCAGGGCCCTGGCAGCTAGGAGGACGGCGGTAAGGGTGGCCTTCGGAGGTGACTGAGGGGACGTAGGTGGGGGGCAGGGTGCCAGCAGAGTAACTGCTGATGAAGAGGGCTGGCTGAGTGATACTTGATGTGAGTGGCAAATGCTGGGGTGGGGGTGGATCCTGACAGAGGGAGAGCCAGGTGGCTGGGGAGATGGCACTGCAGCCCGGCCCTCAGCCTCCTGGGCCCCCGCCTCCATCGGTGCCTGGATGTCAGTGTTTTCCCTTCACGGCCGTTAGGACATGGGGGTCCAGGACGGGGTGCTGGTGGGGTGAGCGTCCTGGGGCTGGGGTTGCCAGTTGGGGCACTTTGAAGGGAGGGTCTCCTGTCCGTATGTCCGTCTGCGGTGGCTGGGGGGGGCTTTGCAGTGGAGGGAGCCGCAGGGGGGCCAGTTCCCAGGGAAGAGCCCAGGGGGTTCCTGTCCGCCCAGCAGCCCCGAGGCAGAGGCCCCTTTCCGTGTGGTGAGGGCGCCGGCACCCCAGGAAGGGGCTGCTGGCACGTTCCTCAGGGAAGGCGAAGGCTTGGCCCAGGAGGGTGTCAGCCATGGGACGACAGGCACAGGGGTTTGTGTGTCAGGGTCTGTCCCTGTCCCGGGATCTCAGCTCCTTCCGGGGAATTCTCTCAGAGTGAGTCACGCCCCCGGGGCCCCTCCAGGGGACAGTCCCTGCCCTGGCCGCCCCTCTGCCCCTGCCCTCGGGGCTGGGTCACTGTGGGGGGCTGTCCAGGGCGCTGTGGGGTGTGAGGTGGTGCACCGGACCCTCCCCCTGGTGATGCCAGGAGCACCCCCAGTCACGGCGGACGCAGATGTCCCCGCGCTGTGTCCAGGGTCCCCGGGAGCAGGGTCACTGTGGGTTGAGAAGCGCTGTGCTGAGGCTGTTCTTGGCCTCAGAGGTCCCGGGTCTGAGTGCCGGGCGATCCGGGGCCGGAGTCAGGGGGTAAGCCACAGACGTTGTCACTGATCAGGAAACAGGTTTCCCCATCCACACCAAGGCCGCCATCACATTCCCTCTGCAAAGGAACTTAGTCAAAAATCAATACAATAAGCAAGAGTTGGCCAAAACCGGTTTGGCTCAGTGGATAGAGCGTCGGCCTGTGCACTGAAGGGTCCCGGGTTTGATTCCGGTCAGAGGCATGTACCTTGGTTGCGGGCACATCCCCAGTGTGGGGGTTGCAGGAGGCAGCTGATCGATGTTTCTAGCTCTCTATCCCTCTCCCTCCCTCTCTGTGAAAAATCAATAAAATATATTTTAAAAAAATAAGCGAGAGCTGTAAGGAAAAACGGATGAGTGCCAGAGCAGTCCTTGGGCACCTCTGGCCCTGCTTCCTTGTCTCGTGGGGCAGGAGGAGGAGTGGCTTCAGAAGGGCCTCGGAAGGACCCCAGTGGCCACAGCCCGGGTCTCAGGCCCAGCAGCCTGGCCTGGAGCCTGCCTCCACCTCTGTGTGGCCTCCGACGAGGCCCGCCTCAGTTTTGCCGTTTGGCCCCGAGTGGTGGAGAGAGCTCCAGGCTCTCTTTTTTTAAAAAATATTTTATTGATTTTTTTACAGAGAGAAAGAGAGAGGAATAGAGAGTTAGAAACATCGATGAGAGAGAAACATCGATCAGCCACCTCCTGCACCCCCCCCCCCCACTGGGATGTGCCCCCAACCAAGGTACATGCCCTTGACCAGAATCGAACCTGGGACCTTTCAGTCCGCAGGCTGACGCTCTGTCCACTGAGCCAAACCCATTTTGGCTCCGGGCCCTCTTCACCACCTGACAGTGTCCAGCAGGTGCCAATGCCCCACCCCCATCCCATGCGCACAGGGCCGGCCTGGGTGGAGGGCCCCGCAGTGATGAGCATACGAAGCGCGGAGGTGAGGACACTGAGTCATGGAGGTGGCACATCACATCACTCCAGGCAGTGGCTGGGGCAGCTGGATGGTGGAGCCGCCCACGCCTGCTTCGGGCTGCCTGCTCTTAGGGTATCCCATCCCGGGGCCCGGGGAGAGCTGACTGAGGTTGTACCCTAGGGGGTACTTGATGGGAACAAGATGGGGAGCATTGGGTTTGTCTCAGGTTCTGTCCCGGGAGGGCAGGCGTTGCGGGGAAGGGCCAGGTTAGCCATGTCGTCGCTGTGGCC